TTGCAAGTTGGCCACGCCCACCTAGTCACATGGCTGGCAAGGCACTCCCACCCAGCCACATGACCAGAAAGCCACGCCCACCCGGTCACATGGCTGGCAAGGCACTCCCACCCAGCCACATGACCAGAAAGCCACGCCCACCCGGTCACATGGCTGGCAAGCCACTCCCACAAAGCAGGCCACACCTACAGAAGAGGTTCTAAAAAATTTTGAAACCCACCACGGGTGTGCAGCCAATTTGCATCAACTATAACAGTAGCTATAGTGCAGTTAAGCACTATAAGAGAAACCGTCTTTGATAGCTTCCATGAATAAGCTTAGTGCAATTTTGGGAGGAGGAATCATTTCCCCAGCACTGTATAGCTACATCAAAACTTGAAATATGTTTAAAATATATAAACTTTCCACACTAATTCCTCAACATTGCTGTGAGAAAGAGAACATTAAATCCCTGGTCAGTGTCAGTACCTCTAGTATCAGGCAGACAGATGGATACAGGAATATTTTTTCCGGCTTTGCTTCATTTCAAATGTTTGATCAGGAGGAGTTGAATGCAAAGGCTTGAGGCACCTGTGATAAGACAGCCACCTACTGGTAACCTTCCCCAATTGCATTTGCAATATCTACTTTAAGATTCATTCTATATTCGTGTAGCATATTATCTGATATACTATATTTTACTCTTATGCATAGTTGGATACCGTTGAAAGATGGCAAAAGCTGTTTTAATATAAAGACTTATATTATCCAACCACTATGGAATCATCATCAGTCCTGTTTAATACTTAAATTGCTGTTGGCATATGGCATTTGCTCATGTTCCCATAATATAAATTAGGGCTTGAGCAGCCACATCTTTGTAGGAGTAATAAATTCTGAATCCCATAAAGGATTAACATGAATCACAGGCTGTACTGAATTCAGAGGCCTGAGGTCAACTGTTATTTTACCCATAATTTCATTGGGTGGAGTTGGCCAGTCATAAAAGGCCATTTCCCACATCATACATAATATAACATATATAATTAGTGGGAAAGGGAAAGCAGTCATTTTCTAGGTCAAACTGTCTAGCCTCTTGGCTACTCTGATGGCAAGAGCCCTCTATGTTTCAAATCAAAACCTTCACACCATCTGCTACCTGATCTTTTTTTAGCTGGAGATGCTCAAGTCTTTCTTGGCTACAACTGTGAAAAGCGGTAAAATAAAGTCAGAGAGGAAATGAAGGCAAACAAACAGGACACTTTAAAAACACATTGATCTTAACTGTTATGCATTGCTACTTATTTACAGATCTTTGATTTTATCTTTCAGGAGAAAATTATCCACAAAGTCCAAGAAATGGAAGTCTATTTTTAATCTGGGCCGGTCAGGAACAGAAGCTAAAACTAAACTGAGCCGCAATGGAAGTGTGTTTGTTCGAGGGCAAAAATTATCTGGTAAAGACTCCCTTCTCTTTCTCCCTTAGCTTGGCCTTGGCCAACAAGAAAAAAAAATACATGCCAGCACTTAGCAAAAGATCATTCATGCTAATGAAGTAACAAGGATTAAAAGCCAGTATGAACGATGCTTGACAACAGCATGGGAGAGATTGCATATTTAACCTCTTACATCATGCCAAGTATCACTTCAGTAGGACAATAACAGGCAGTCATATCCCAAAGCCCATTAAATTTTTGCTGTGAATACTGCCTATTATTTTACTGTGTTGAACATGCATTTCTGAATTCGCTGAATGCATGCGCAGGCAGAGGTCAAGTGTGCGTCTGCCCAAGCTGTTACTAAGAATATGCCTATGCCAGTCATTTTATTAAGGAGTCCTGGAACATGTGTCCATCTCATCTTGTCTGGGGTTTCTGATTAGAATCCTTATGAGATAATCAGTATCTTATTAAAGAAATGTCCTGGCTCCCTTCCAACAATCCTTGTAGAGCAAAGAAGATGCAATTACTATGCGTAGCTTTTAATTCTTGAAAATATTTACATTTATTACCAGATAACATGAAGGATAGGTGTCCAAACAGTTGTCACAATGAGGAAGGATGTAGAAAATAATCCAGCCCAACACTCTGCTTAGGGAGAAGTTAGTGGGCTCCTTGAATAAAGAGCAATACACAACTATTCTTTGTTTATGAATAAGCAATTCAGAAAATCCTTGCAAAAATCATATCACTATTTTGGCAGATAAACATACTGAATAAAACTTGCTTTTTTCACTGTGCTAAAAAATAGTTTAAGAAACCATTGCACCTCTTATACCTTGCTAGCTGGTAAACCTTCATTTTAGCTGTAAATTAAAGATAGAGTTGTATATATTCTCAGGATATTAAATCTTTTTCTGCTTTGCAGCTGCACTTGTTAACAGTTTTCATTTCTGTATAACTGCAGTGTGTGGTTATATTTCAAACATTTTACATCCTTTCCTTCTACAGAGAAAGCAACCATTCGGCCAGCTAAAAGCATGGACTCACTTTGTTCACTTCCAGTAGAAGGTAAGACTTGATCAGTGTGTATCAAATGTGGAAAAGTCAAAGATTTGCTCAGTCTTTGGGCATTTTTATATCAGAAGCTGAATTTGTGTAATTTTAGTGGACATTCTGGATATCTGTTTATATTAATCTGTTTATTTGTTCAAAATGTTTTGTGGGGTTTATTGCATAACACTAAAAAGTACTTAGTACAGTCATTGGTCAGAGAGTGTGCTGGAGAAGCCACTTGCCTTTCATTGTCATCTTCCTTTTCTAGATGAACTCATGGTTCAAGAAAAAAAAAACCACCAAGACTTTCACTATGATATGAGTCAGCAGTGTGCAGCTGTGTGCCATGTGTGGCAGCAGCCAAAAAAGCTAATACAATCCTTGATTGGATAAACAGAGGATAGAATCAAAATGAAGTGAAGTATTAGTACCACTTTATAAAGTCTTAGTAAGGTCACACTTGGAATACTACATCCAGTTTTGGTCATCACATTACAAAAAAATATGTTGAGACTTTGGAAAAAGTGCAAAGAAGAGCAACTAAGATGATTAAAAGCCTGGAGACTAAACATATGAAGAACGGTTGCAGGATTTGGGTATAGCTATTTTAGAGAAAAGAAAGACTAGGAGGAATGTAACAGCAGTATTCCAGTATTTGAGAGGTTGCCACAAAGAGGAGAGGGGGGAGTCAACCAAAGCACCAGAGGGCAGGACAAGAAACAATGGATGAAAACTAATAAAGGAGAAACTGGAATTAAGGAGAAACTTCCTAATAGTGAGATTGCAATCAGAATTTGTGAGTGCTTATTCACTGGAGGTTTCTAAGACAGGACAGTCACTTTTTTGAAATGGTATAGGATCTCCTGCTTAAGGAGGGAGTTGGTCTAGAAGACCTCCAAGGTCCCTTCCAGCTCTATTCTGATTGATTATTGCTTATGCAAAACTTCAGTTGCTTGAATAAGAGGAGTTTCTTTTAGGATACTCTACTCAAAATTTTTTGCAGTCTGGCAGATTTGTCAATCTTATGACAACTTTCCAGTCTGTGTGGTATCATCTAGCGGAGGCCATTTCCTCATTGTGGAATTTATGAGATTGTACAGTATAGGAATGGACTCTCCACAGTAATCCAAGCTTCGCAATCGCCTAGATTTCTGAGACACACTCTGTGTGGAACTGCTGTTGAAGATGGTTCAGAATTTGCAATCTGTGCCAAAGGCAGATACAAACTTATAGACTACAGTACTTCATTAATGCAAGGCTTAATATAAAATTCTTAATGAGCTGCACTAGTTGGCTCTGATCAACCCCAACTCAGAGGATTAAAATTTAATATATAAAGCTGCAAATGGTTTAGGATTTGGTTAACCTCTAGGAATGCCTGTCCCTTTATTTTTGTTTCTGTAACATTAAACATATTCTTAGACATTCCCTGTTTTATGTATCATCCAATTACTAGAGGAAGGCTGAATTCATAGGAATTCCAACCACAACTATGTAACTTATTTTTTCTTAGAAATTAGATTGTTGCCGGTGTTGAAATTACTGCAATTTTGGGTCTTGAATGAAGGAATTATTTTTGACCAAGCCTTTGTATTGGTTTTTGTTTTTTAAATTGGACCAATGTCAAAATAGGCTGTTTGATTACCAATATTGGGTCTATTTTGATCAACATGGGAACATTTTTCCAAAGTGAAAGGTTGGCTATAAGAAATTATATTTAAAATTATAATTATATCAGTTTTCTGCATTTTATGTTATACAATCTAGAGACAAACCTTACTGTTATTATTGCTACTTCAGAAAAAATGGTTTGTGGCAACCTGTTGTATATCTACACTAGTATCCCTTATATCAACAAATATATTAAGGTAATGGATGATTGCAGTTTATGGGGTAAGGGAGAAGCAGGAAGAATAGTGAGTGAGTTTTTTCATATTTCTTCATGGGGTGGTATTCATCTTAACATATTTAGAGATGGAGAAGGAGACAGAAAGAATGATGGAATATTGCAAATATGGATCCAGAGAAAGGCTGAGGGAAAATATATATGTTTCTCTCATTTTCTTCCCTATTTCACCACCTCCTAAGCTTTGTATTTCATCCTGTCCATCTTTTAAAACAATTTTATGGCTGCTGCCTTCGGCTTAGAAAAAAGATAGAGAATTGAGGAGGAAGTGGAAAATACCCTCTTTACCCCAAGTTTCTCTTTTACTAAATATACTTTTCCCTATCACCATTTCCAAATAGACGGTAGATGGAATCCATGACTGGGATACAGAATACAGATTTGCAGACACCAAAGCAGGTCATGATGACTGCTTTTGAAATTATAATTGTAAACTGAGGAGAGCTTAGAAATAAATTCAGTCAGTGATCTAACAGAAAATTGAATCATGTCTAGCATGTATTGTGCAAGGAAAAAGTGCTCTTTAAGTCAGCCTGATTTGTCCCTACTCCCAATAAAGTATTTACCATAGGATTACAGCCTTTTTGGGGTGACACAGGTGATCAACCACAAATCATAATTTCACAATGCAAACTTTGTCACTGATGTGCTTGCGTTTGATACCTTGATGCAATTATGAAAGGTCAGAATTCGCATCATGGTATTGCAACACATTCTCATCATTTTTTCCTCATCGTAGTTTGTACCAGGTACTGATACAAAGGACATCCTAAAAGTTGGCTTTTGCTGGGCCATTATAGCAATAGCAATAGCACTTAGACTTATATACTGCTTCAAAGTGCTTTTACAGCCCTCTGTAAGCGATTTACAGTCAGCATATTGCCCCCAACAATCTGGGTCCTCATTTTACCCACTTTGGAAGGATGGAAGGCTGAGTCAACCTTGAGCTGGTGAGATTTGAACTGCCGAGCTGCAGCTCGCAATCAGCTGAAGTAGCCTGCAGTACTGCACTCTAACCACGGCCCCACCTCGGCTTTTATAAAGATGGAACAGACTTTTGAAGGAAATATTAATTTCCCTGTGTGCTCTAGAAGAAATAGAAGATACGATTTAAAAGTTCTATCTGTATTAGTATTCAAACTAATCTAAGATGAATAACCATGCGATATAGTCCCCAGATAACATCCAGATCTCCATGTTGATCCCAAGGTTCTGCTATGTTCTATGATATTAATTTTATTCTGAAACAACAAAATAGTATCAATCTCTCCTTTATTAGTATCAATCTACTATTATTTTTTTCTTTTAATGTCCCTTTAGATTCTTCTTTCCCCTCTCCATAAATATGATTGAATCACAGCATCATTAGACATGTGTCTGTGACCTTTAAAGATTAAAACAAAAAATGAACAAATTAATCAATAACCAATGTACAATGCAGGACAAAAAAGAGTTTGACCATGTATGAGAGACCAGACTGGCAAAATTTATCTTTGTTTCCTTCCTTCTTTCTTTAGGAGAGGATGAAAAAGGTCATTTCAAGCGCACAATCACAAGTGGAGGGTTTTTTGTTCCAATGATGAAACAACGAGTGGGAGGACCTAGCAGCTCCTTTGACCTCAACAAGCAAGACACAGAGTGGGATCTCAAAGGTGCCATGAAAGGTGCTGAAGGAGGAGCAGAGGACAATGCAGAGAATCATATTCTACGGCCAACCCAAATGAAACCACTTCCTGAGCAACTGAAGGTATTCCGCCCCACTGAAGACCCTGAGAATGAGCAAACCTCCCCAAAGATGTGCCGTATGTTTTATACTTCAAATAATGAGACATCCAATTTGGGATTCCATGGGACCCTATTCCCCCTGGAAGCCTCTCCCCGTCACCAACATAAAGCCTTGAATATCTCGGAGCCTTTTGCTGTCTCAGTGCCCCTTAGAGTATCTGCAGTCATCAGTATCAACAGTACACCTTGTCGGATGCCTGTCAAAGACAAAGCAGCTTTCTCTAGCCTTCAGGAATCCTCTTTTCTGGGAAAAGGAAGTGCTATCTCTTCAGTCCCTGAAGGTGACAACTGTGACCAATTAGAGCATGTCACAGTCAAGGAAGAAAAGAAGCCTGAGTCCAAATCCATAACAGGTAAGCTTAGAATAAGGATGGATGATGTTCCAGGAGATGTTGAACAGCTTATCTCTAGCCATGGCAAATGATCAAAAGAAAGAGATTTGCAAATGTTGAGAACAACATTTGGAAAGAGTTGTGCACCCTGACTTAGGAAAGGCTGTAGTAATGTGTTCACAAGAGACCTCCAACATGGGTAATAGAGAATAGTTGAAATATTGAGAGCATGTCATGGAGATTCTTGAAGAATATTTGACACATGTGTTTTTTCACAACATTGGTTTTTGGTTTTTTTTTTGGGTGGGAGCATGCAGTTGAAAATGCCAGTTTACCTGGATACCTATTGCTGTCTGTCCATTCCTTTTTTCTTTTTGCTAGTGAAGAAAGAAAACCTAGATATATTACAGTGATCTTTAAAAAAAAGTAAAACTGGCAAAAGAAAAGCTAATTAACAGAAAAAAACAATCCTCATAATTATCAATAGCAATTTAAAATTGATGTAATCTTTCAAGCTTGTTAAATCACAGAGCAACACATTGTGACATCTTATTACTTTTATAATACAGAGATTTTCTTTTCAAAATAATAGATATCAATCTTACCGTGTTTCCCCAAAAATAAGACTGGTCTTATATTAATTTTTGCTCCAAAAGATGCATTAGGGCTTATTTTCTGGTTAGGCCTTATTTTAGGGAAAATACGGTACTAAATGCATCCATCTGGTTGACAATCTTAATGGGGCTTATTTTGGGGGTAAGACTTATATTATGAGCATCCTAAAAAAATCATGCTAGGACTTATTTTCCAGTTAGGTCTTATTTTTGGGGAAACAAGATATATCCTGACTCTGTTCTTTAAAAGTGAGGGTTTTTTATAAGAAAAGTGAGGGGGGGTTCCCAATTACATAAAATTGTTAAAAATATCCTGTGGAACAGAATGCCTTTAGGAACACATGGGTGACTTTGTATTGGAGATCACACAGCCTGAGGATGTTATGAAAACCTAGCTTGCAGTGATACAGCTGGAGTGATCTTTTTACTTAGTTATTAATGGAACAAAAGGGAAATCTTGGTGGTAGGCTGAAATTAATTGTCAGACAAGTTATTACATGTAGTTGGAAGAACATGAAGACAAAAGCGAGTTTTAGAAAGGATCAATTGAGACAGGAACGCACCTGGAAGGAACAGCTTAAACTTCCCAAATTGCTTTCCACTCTAAACCTCCTTTCATTAAAAATATAATAAAAAATCAGAGTACAGTATTTTATATGCCTATTTTATATACCTAGACTGCGTCTTAAAACAGATTACTGCAATATCCTGAACATCTAGAGCAGATGCTGACAACACAGTGCCAGGGCACCTATTGCACTCTAAAATATCTATTTTAATATATCTATTTCCCAAAATAAATGACATGATATTTTGAATAATTAAATGGCCAGTTTTCAGAGATTCTGGTGTGAGATCTCATTAAATTCTAGACTTCTTTTCTAGATGTCATAAGAACCCAACATAAGGTTGCAAAGATAATGATCTCATGAAAATTTAGGCATTAAAAATATTTGGGCCATAACTGAAGTTCTTATGTTAGCATTTACAGCTTTAAACTGTTGAAAACTCCATATATTTAGAGATGTTGGGATATGAAGGATCATGCTAAATCATATACTCTATATATGTAAAAGGACCCAGATTCAGTATGTGCCACTTCCAGATAGAGATCTTTGCATCTTTCAAAAGACTTCCAACTTTTAGTCAGTGTGAAAAATACAGGATTATTGTCAAAATGTAGCCAGTGTTGTGTAATTTGTAGACTGTTCAGATTAGGAACATACTAGTATATACCGTAGAGAAGAAACCATGGTTTATTACATATAATTATGCTGCCAAACATACGTAGAGAGCATTGTTCATCTCATAGCTATATAACAGTTCAGGCACAATTGGTTCCACCACAATACCGTGGAGTGCTAATCCTTGGAGACATAAGCGCGAGTGCTAATCCGCGCCATCTGAATCGCTAAAGCAAATGCGACCTTACCGTGCTGACATAAGGGCGGAGGGCAAATCCGCGCCTTCCGAAGCACTCAGCCTAACCTCACCCTAAACCTAACCCTAACCCTAACCCTAAACCTAACCCTAAACCTAGGGGCTTGCAAGCGGGCACAGGGCAAAGTGGGCTGCCCAGCAGCAGCAGCCCGCGGGAAGGGTCCAGCTCAGCCGTGGGGGGCAGCAGGAAGGAAGAGGCAGGGCAGGCCGCGTCATTGGAGCCCGCACCCCGCCTGCTGCTGCCGGCCCCGCTCGGGCCACCCGCGGGCTTCCTGCTGCCCCCCACGGCTGAGCTGGACCCTTCCCGCGGGCTGCTGCTGCTGGGCAGCCCACTTTGCCCTGTGCCCGCTTGCAAGCCCCTA